CCCAAGAACAACAACAAAAACCCAGGACCAGATGGCTTTATTACTGAATTCTACCAAACATTTAAAGAACTAATACCAATTCTTCTCAAATTCTTCCAAAAAATTGAAGAGGAAGGAATACTTCCAAACTCACTCTACAAGGCCAACATTAACCTCATACCCAAACCCTAGAAAGATACAACCAAAAAAAGAAAACTACAGACCAATATCCCTAATGTACACAGATGTAAAGATCCTCACCACAATATTAGCAATCAGAATCAAACATACTAAAAAGATCATTCACCATGATCAAGTGGGATTCATGCCAGGGATGTAAGGATGGTTCAACATATGCAAATTGAAACATCACATAAACAGGATGAAGAAAAAAAGACCATATAATCATTTCAATAAATACAGAAAAAGTATTTGATAAAAATCCAACACCCTTTCATGATAAAAACACTAAACAAATGAGACATAGAAGGAATGTACCTCAAAACAATAAAGGCCATATATGACAAACCCACAGCTAACATCATCATGAGTGGGGAAAAGCTGAAAGCTTTTCCTCTAAGATCTGAAGCAAGACAAGGATGCCCACTTTCCCCACTCTGATTCCACATAGTATGGGAAGTTCTAGCCAGTGCAAACATGCAAAAGAAAGCAATAAAGGACATCTAAATCAGAAAGGAGGAAATCAAACTATCCCTATTTGCAGATGACATGATCATATACACAGGAAACCTTGAAGACTCCACCAAAAAATTACTAGAACTAATAAATGAATTCAGAATGAATTCAGTATAGTGATAGGATACAAAAATCGACACACAAAAATCAATAACTTTCCTATACACCAATAATGAAATAGCCAAAGAAGAAATATAGAAAGTAATTCTATTCACAATAGCTGCCAAAAAAAATGAAATATCTAGGCATAAATTTAACCAAGGAAGTGAAGACTTCTACAATGAAAACTATAAAACATTGGTGAAAAAAATTGAAGAGGATGAAAATAAATGGAAAGATATCCCATATTCACTAGTGGAAAGAATTAACATCATCAAAATATCCATATTACCCAAATGTATACATTCAATGCAAAACCAGTCTTATAATTTGTATGGAACCAAAAAGACCAAGGGTAGCTAAAGCGATCTTGAACAAGAACAACAAAGTTGGAGGAATCACACTTCCTGGCTTCAAAATATACTATAAAGCTATAGTAACCAAAACAGCATGGCATTGGCATAAAAATAGACCAATGGAATATAATAGAGAGCCCAGAAATAAACCCATACACCTACAGCCAACTGATTTTTGTCAAAGTGCCAAGAATATATGGTGAGGAAAGAACAGCCTCTTCAATAAATGGTGCTGGGAAAACTGGATGTCCACATGCAGAAGATTGAAACTAGCCCCATATCTCTCATCATACATAAAAATCAACTCAAAATAGATCAAGGACCTAAATTTAAGACAGGAAACTATAAAACTACTAAAAGAAACCATAGGGGAGATGCTACATGAAATAGGAGTGGGCAGCAATTTTTGAGCAAGACTATGATGGCACAGGCAACTAAAGCAAAAATACATAAATCAGACTACAACAAACTAAAAAGCTCCCGCACAGCAAGGGACGCTATCGACAAAGTGAAGGAACAACTGACTGAATGGGAGAAAGCATTGGCAAACTACATATCAAACAAGGATGGCACAGGCAACTAAAGCAAAAATACATAAATCAGACTACAACAAACTAAAAAGCTCCCGTACAGCAAGGGACGCTATCGACAAAGTGAAGGAACAACTGACTGAATGGGAGAAAGCATTGGCAAACTACATATCAAACAAGTGGCTAGTATCCAGAATATCTAAGGAACTCAAACAACTCTACAGCAAAAAAGCAAATAACCAAATTAAAAAATGGGTAAAGGACCTGAATAGACATTTCTCTAAAGAAGTCATACAAATGGCCAACAGCACATGAAAAAATACTAAAAATCACTAATCATTCAGGAAATGCAAATTAAAACCACAATGAGACTTCCTCTCACCCCAGTTAGAATGGCTGTTATCAACAAGACAAAATAACAAATGCTGGCAAGGATGTGGAGAAAAGAGAACCCTCCTACATTGTTGATGGGAGTGTAAATTGGTACACCATCTGTGGAAAACAGTACGAAGTTTCCTCAGAGAAATAAAATAGATCTATCTTACAATCCACCTATCTGATTATATACCCAAAGGAAATTAAATCAATGTATCAAAAAGACCTATACTTCCATGTTCATAGCAACACTATTCACAATAGCCAAGAGATGTAATCAACCTAAATGCCCATCAAAGGATGAATAGGTAAAAAAACAAACAAACCGTGGTACATATACACAATAGAATACTACTCAGCTATAAAACATACCACCAAGCACACTCTAGGATCATACCTAAATACATGCCCACTTAGTCTTTCAACATTTTTTAAGCACCTACCAAATAAAAATGGCTGAATTACTATGAGATAGAAAGTTAAATAAAAACCCAGTCTTATTTTCAGGAAACTCAATAACTAGTGGAAAAAATGAAGGTAAACAATTACAGTCTAGTGTAATAAGTTAAGAGAAAGACATGTATAATACAGTCATGGTTTAAAGGAGAGAGAGCTTAACTCTGCTTGGTTAGAGAAGGATTATTTTTCTCATATCTTCATCAAGCCCCCTTCTCTGATGGGTTCTTTTCTTCTCTACCTCCTACCAATCAGCTCAGTTCTCCTTCAGTCTTAAACCCACAAATAAACCATGTCATGATGCTTAAGCCAATACCACTCTGACATCACCTTTACTAGCAGTTTTTGAAAAGATCACCTACACTCTAGGTCTTATTCATTCATCTTTTAAGTAAGTGTAATCTTGCTTTTGATTTCCACCGTTATATTTATAACTCTCACCAAAGGTTGAGTAATCCACTCAGTACATCCAGTCCTTTTCTCAGTCCTTCTCTTTGCTACAAAACTGTGGACCTTACTCTCTTCTCAAAATTTTCTCCTTGACTTTTCTGCTACTTACTTCCCTAATGTATTTCCTCCCTCTCCTGCCATTTCTGTTCAGTTTTCACTGATTCCACTTCCATTTAATGACCGACAAAGAGAAGCATTAGACAAGATTTCATTTTGAGACATGGCTTTGGACTCCCTACCTCCTCTCTCCCACAGCAAATTCATGATAATGAGCTCTAAAGTAGAGTGGATCTGAGAAAAAAAAATCTTCAAGTTAGGCTGACTGGCTTCAGTTTCTGATTCTATCACTGACTTACTTAACTCTGCACCTCTGCCATTGCCCATCCTAGCACTCCATAAAAGAGAATGGCTTTCTAATGTCCTTTCCAATCCCACAGTTCTACAATGCTAACTGGAAAGAACATCAGATTTTTAGTCCTAACTTCTCTAATGCTCCACATCCACATTCTGCCTGTCACTTAAATGCCGACATGATATGTTAACACAGATATGTTAATAGCCTGTTTTTTTTTAAAAAAAAAAAAAAGGTTATTCTTTATGATTGCTAAGAAAAGCCTCTAATTCTCTTTTTCTAGATTCCCTATTAAATTTGTTCATGGCAGTTTCTAACCCCAAAAACTAAATCTCCAAAACAACTACTTCCTTTAAGTTACCAATTAATGTTTATGCACTGGTGCTACCATTACCCTAAGCTTAAAACCTTAATAATCCTATATATTTTCTGCCTTTTATTTATGCATTCTGTCTTCCTAATTCTCAACCTTCCCTCAAGGCCTAATTCAAAGAGCACCTGTTCCAGAGAGTGTTCCTTGGCCTGCCCAGCTGGTGATAGTCTTCCCCTCGTCAGAAGACCCCAAAGGCTCTATGTGTACCTCCTGTAACACTTGGCTTATGTCTTCCTCCAGACCCTGGTTCTGTGGGAGCAGGATTTACATCTGATTCTTCCTTGCATCCCCCCATATTACCTTGAATGCTGCCATGCCCAGAGTAAGTACTGAAAAACTGTAACATTTGAATTGAATTAACTAAACTCAGTCTGAACTTTGGACACAGAAGAAGCAGTAACGTTTTCTCAAGTAATAATTTTCTTCAAGACTCTAATGTAGTGTTCTTCTTAAGGTAAGGAAGCAGAAGCTCCTCTTCAACTCTTTCAAAATCCCAGTCAACTCAAAAGTACACTATAGATAATTGTCCTTGCAATGTCACAATATTTATTTTTTTAAAATGGTAGACTTACTATGAGAAATTGGTAACGGGCCACAAATAAATGATTACATCATGTAATGATGAATGTACTAATTATCCTGATTTGAGGATCATGTATATTGCACACAGGTATTGATATTCAATGCTGTACCCAGCAGATATGTACATCAATGCTGTTTCAATTAAAAATTAATTAATTAAAAAAATAAAATAGTAGAATTACTAAAAGATGTACTCAAATATTTGGTTTTACAATTTGAGCATTTCTTTTTTATTTAAATTATTCACAAGATAAAGTATTTTGACAAACTATTAGATCTAATGGACTACCCTTAGAAGTGCAGATTAAACATAGCAATAATTGATGCCTATCAGAAAGCCCAGCCAGTACACAGTACATCATCATCTTCTCAGAAAACAATTTCCCAAAATAAAATATGCTGTCATTAATTTTCAGCTTCATTAATAGGCTTCAATGCATTGCTCTAAAAATTTATTTTTTTAAATGTGGTCCTCAATTGAGGTAGTAAAACAAATGGAGGGAAATGAAAGGTTTCCAGCTTCCTTTATTACCAAGAAAAATAAAAATGCAGCCTAGGAGACAGAAGAACTAGAATTTCCCAAGAGTCTAAACCAGAAAAGACAAGGCTTTAGCTTAATTCATCTAGAAGATAGGATGTCTGGTGTGAAACCTGACAAGTAGTAGACAGTATCTCTGCAAGAACATTAAATAAAACTGAAAGGATCCGTCTGATGCCTCATTACTGAGGACGCACAGCAGAATCCGACCTACCTGGTTTATCCCTCCGGAAGAGATCTTGTATGACTGCAACTTTTGCTTCAGCAGCTCTGGATCACTGTGACGGAATGGGCACCCTGACAACAAAAAACAAGCCAGCATATCAACAAGATTATTTACCCAGGGCTTAGTACAATACCACACTCAAGAGACTGTCTAAGCTCCCCTTAATTGTCTAACAGCTTATTATTTAAAAAGTTAATTGCCTTTGGGTGCAACTGCTTTCCTCTCTTTATCTAAATGACAACTTAGCTATACAGTTATCAGGGTACCACAGGCACAAGAGTTACATAAAACAGTGCAGACTTCTCAGGCTCAGATGCCCATTAGCTAGGAAAAGGAAAACCATTTTAAATGTGCTACTTGCTAATAATAATCACAAAATAGCTACAATAGTTTATCTAAAAACTTTATACAATCTTACTTTTTCTAGTCTAAAAAATTACATAAAAAGCATATGAGAGAAGGGAGATAATGTAAACAAAAAGAAAAATGTGTAAATTCTGAGAAATATAAAAATTTCACATCATTTCCTAATGTAAATTCTCTGCCTATTTCCTGTAGAGCAGAATCCATATAAATTTAGAGGAACCACAAGGGTAATCAGAAGGACAAATAGAAAACTGTTTCATTGAAAAAAAAAAAAAACTTATAGTATATGTATGTCATCTCGATGTTATTTTATGAGAAAAAGATGGACTACTAGCAATTATGCATAAAGAAGAACACAGAAAAAATGAAATGTAAAAGTTGTGCTAAGCCAAAATCTGAAAAAGTTAAGATATTTTAATAAAAAAACTACAATGGTATTTGAAAATTTAATACAGGAAAGCCTGATTTTTTTTCAGTCACACAGATGACAGATCTGTAAGTTAGAAAGAATTATGCATTTTTAAAGACATCAATGGGAAATTGGTTGATGATAAAATAATGGAAAAGAGCCAGAATGCCAAACAAATATATTTACCAAAAAAACTTAACTATGAATAAAAACATTTATTATAACACTATGGACTCCTACAAACTATGAAATTTACAAAATTTACAGTATATACTTTATTCAGATTAAAATTGTAATAATTTTTAGTACAAGGAAACAACTTGAGAAACTGTATAATACATGGTTAAGAGTCTGGAGTTATACTACCCAGATTTGAATCTCAGTTTACCACTTACTATTTGAGAGATCTTAGGCAAATTTTTAACCAAAATTTACAGTATATACTTTATTCAGATTAAAATTGTAATAATTTTTAGTACAAGGAAACATCTTGAGAAACTATAATACATGGTTAAGAGTCTGGAGTTATACTACCCAGATTTGAATCTCAGTTTACCACTTACTATTTGAGAGATCTTAGGCAAATTTTTAACATTATGGTTGACTCAGCTTCACTTCCTATCAAGTAAGGGAAATGACAGCACTCACCTCACAACTTTCTTATGAGAATGGAATACAAAGCTCTTATATGCACATAGTAAGCACTCAACATGTGTTAGCTATCATTATTATTCTCAAAAAAACTGATAATAACAAAAGATCTCAATAAGAAATAAATTAGTATGTACATGGAATATTGGTTAAGCCCAGAATTATTAAAAGGTACAGAAAAAAGACTAAATTGAATTACCCAAATTACATATGAAATATATGAAAGTTCAGAAATGACAAAGTCAAGAAGAAACTGAAAATTTCCAGAGTGTTAATGAACACAAAAATGTCTTTTGAAGCTATGCTCACTATAAGTAGAAAACATAAGAAATAAACTTAAAGAAGCTGGTGTTATTTCAACAGATGAGGTAAAGAAAATACAACGTATCAACACCTACTTTGTTTCTTCCACATCAAAAAGAATGAAATTAGAAAGGTCAAAGAAGATAACAGAAGATGAGGTGAATGCACACACAACTAATGTTAATTACAGCTAAGGATTTGAGAAAGTTTCCCAATATACATTTGCCATAGAGATGGAGAAACATAGGCCAGAATATAGTTATACCTACATAGATTCATAACTGGTTGAACATTGTTGCAGGTACAGTTGGTTAATGAGATAATGTCAACCTAGGGGACTAAATAACTTTGCAAATAACATAAAACAAAAAAGGATAGACTCCCGTCTCTAGTCAGGCATGTAAGGAGCTTAGAAGTTGCCACTCCATCCTAAACAAGAAAAAGCTGAACAAACTGAAAAATCAACTCTTTTTGGATCCGACAGAGAAATGAGGTCATGGGGCAAACCATGTCCCTCAAAATTAGAGAGGGACAGGCAAATACACAGAATCACAACTTGCCAGAGCAGAAATCCACAAGCAGAACCTCCAACGGAACCAGTGCTGGGGTAGGAAAACCTAAACTAAAATTGATAAATTGGTGGAATCTCAGTGTGGGCATGTCTGAAAGTTAAAAATTCCAAGGGGATCCAGTCATAGGGGGCTTCAACATTTTTGTGAGTTTTACCTCTAGGAGCACTACCAGGTTCTCAGTGAATGTCTGACAAAAATATCCTCCTGCTTCCAGCAGGGGGAAGGAAAAATAAGCCATTTTGAAATACACCAGAGCATTCTGTTCTTGACAAGGTCTGACCTCAGGAGAAACTATTTTTACCAGAGCCCTGCTGGGGTTTTATCAGAATCTACCATACTTGGGGGAAGGGTAATTCTAACCTCCTCTAGCCCAACTCTAACCCCAACTCTAAACTCCTCTAGCCATCCTGCTCCACCACGGAGGGAAAAAACTGCAAAACACCTAGTGAAGTTCACAGTTTGAAGACACTAAACAAGCATCAGAACCGGAGTTATATATGGCAGGGATGTTGGAATGAGGAGAACAGGAATTTAGAACAACTATGATTCATATGCTAAGGGCTCTATTTGAAAAAGTAGACAACATGCAAGAACACATATTAATGTTAGCAGAGAGATAATGCTAGAGATCAAAAACACTAACAGAAATGAAGAATGTCTCTGATGGGCTTGATAGCAGAATGAACACAGCTGAGGAAAATTCTTGAATCTTGGGGATATGACAATAAAAACTTCTGAAACAAAAAAGCAATGAGAAAAAACCCTGAGAAGAACAGAACAGAATATATAAGAACTGTGGAACAAGTATAAAACGTGTAACATACACATAAATGGAATCCCAAAAGGTGAAGAAAGAAAGAAGTGGAAGCACAGACTGGGAGAAAATATCTGCAAAAAACACACCTGATAAACTACTGTTATCCAAAACACACAAAGAAGTCTAAAAATTTAACAATAAGAAAACAAACAAACTGATTGAAAAATGGGCAAAGGACCTGAACAGACCCCTCACTAAAGAAGATACACACATGGCAAGTAAGCATATGAAAAGACTTCAATGTCACATGTCATTAGGGAATTGTAAATTAAAACAACAATGAAATACCACTACACATCTATTAGAATGGCCAAAATCCAAAATAATGACATCACCAAATGCTGACAACGATTTTGAGCAAAAGGAACTCTCATTCATTGCTGGTGGGAATGCAAATGGTACAGCCACTCTGGAAGACAATTTTGCAGTTTCTTGCAAAACTAAACATAGTCTTATACAATACGGCAATCACACTCCTTTGTTATTAACCCAAATGAAATGAAAACTTATACCTACACAAAAAACTACACATACTGTTTACAGCAGCTTTATTCATAACTGTGAAAACTTGGAAGCAACCAAAATGTCCTTCAGTAAATAAATGGATAATCTGTGGTACATCCAGACAATAGAATAGTATTCAATGCTAAAAAGAAATGAGCTATCAAGCCATGAAAAGACATGGAGGAAACTTAAATGCACATTACCAAGTGACAGAAGCCAATCTGAAAAGGCCACATACTGTATTATTCCAACTATATGACATTCTATAAAAAGCAAAACTACTGAGACAGTTGAAAGATCAGTGGTTGCCATGCATTAGGGGGAGAGAGAGGTAAATAGGCAGAGCACAGAGGATTTTTAGGGCCATGGAACTATTCTGTAGGATACTACAGTGGTGGATACATGTCATTATAAATTTGTCCAAACCCATACAATATACAACACAATTAGAGCAAACCCTAATGTAAACTATGGGCTTTATTTAATAATGATGTGTCAATGTAGGTTCATTATGCAACAAATGTACCACTGTGGTGAGGGATGTCAATAGTGGGACAGGTTGTGCATGTGTGGGATCAGGAAGATATATGGAAACTCTGCACCTTCTGCTTAGTTTTACTGTGGACCTAATCAGCTCTAAAAAATAAAGTTTACCAATTTTTTTAAACAAGGTATAGGTAAATGTGTCCAGTAAATAATATGAGTTCACTGTTTGCTAAGTATAGTATTTCTTGACAGAGAGTTTAAATTAAAAACTCAATAAAACAAACACATAGAATGCACTGGAATAAACAATGTACAATTTAACAGGAATAAGAAATAAAAGGTCCTGCATTTAGGGTAGTAAAAATTAAATAAGTGACAAATTCTAAGACCTGGAAATTCACAGAAAGAATCCCCAGGAGTTTTAGTTGGTCACAAGCTCAGCTGTAAGTTAACTGCCTGCTGAGACTGCTATACTAAGAAACGCTACAGCCTTCCTCAATACAAGTAGCTGAGTCCATGGCTTTCAAACTTTAGGAGACATAAAAATCACCCAAGAAACTTGCAAACAAAGTCTGATTTTTATGTCTACGGTTGGGACCTGAGAATCTGCATTTCTAAATGGTACCTAAAGGGACTCTGACACAAGTGGTAAGAACCACTCACTGTCTGTCACCAGCACTGGCCACCTCTTCAGCTATTAAATAATGAATGTATAGGCATTTTTTAACCTCTGGACACATGAAGCATCTTTTTAAAACGTTACTTGTGATTATTTAATCTTTAACAGCCTGAAAGTGTGTAACCTTTTTAAAACTGTGTTTCATTTAAGATTCTAAAACAAAAAAAAGTTTTGACAGATACTGTGGTAAGCACTAGTAGTCTGGAAAATCTAGTGATATGAACTATTAAATAATTCTTTGATATACCAAATGAGGCACTTTTCCAAGTATGCTTAGAGAACTGTTTTAGAAAAAAGTTGTTGAACTCAGAAGTCTATAGAAAACAGTTTGACACAGATTTTTTTAAAAACTAACAACTCGGGGCCGGCCCGGTGGCGCACTGGAAGGTGCGCCGCTTGGGAGTGTGGCGGCGCTCCCGCCGAGGGTTCGGATCCCATGTGGAGACCGGTTCCCGCTCACTGGCTGAGCGCGGTGCGGGCGCAACACCAAGGGTTGCGATCCCGTTGCCGGTCCCGGTCCGGTACGGGCGCGACACTGAGGGTTGCGATCCGGTGCCAGTCACGAAAAAAGATAAAAAGGAAAAAAAAAACCTAACAACTCAGGCAAATTGACAGATATTGTTGATACCATGATTTGTTAAATTGCTCACTTAATCTTTGTTGGTTAATCAGTAATAGTAGAGTCACGAAAAAAGATAAAAAGGAAAAAAAAAACCTAACAACTCAGGCAAATTGACAGATATCGTTGATACCATGATTTGTTAAATTGCTCACTTAATCTTTGTTGGTTAATCAGTAATAGTAGTGAAAATAAAACACACTTTTCCTTAGTAGTCTTTTGAAAACTGATCAATCTACTATTCCAAAATTAGAGTTTTCCAGTTTCAAAAAGCTTTGAAAAACTTATATCCCTCTTCTAAGACACTTGCAGAACAAGAGAAAGACAGAGAACAGCAGGTGAAGGGGGAAACTCAGAACTGAAAAGCCCAGTCCAGCACAAACTGAAGTACAGCTGAATGAATTTCTCTTGCCTGACCTAGTTCAGTAATAAGACAAATCACTGTAGGAGTAATGGAGCTCTAGCTTGACACTGATGACTGACATAAGCTACAAACTAGGTCCTGTCAGTAATGCAAAAAGCCATTACGTTGTCTCAGTGTTTCCTACAGAGCTCTTGGGTTTCTGTACTTCTGCAGTATATCCAGTGGAAGCACTCACTTACCATGATAATCCCCTTGGCCTGGTGGATTGGTTAGAATAATCTTCAGGCAACTGAAAGGTGTATAGTCTGTCCTCTTGCCTTCCTTTCCGAAGCTATGACGGATATTGTAAGAGTAACCTTTATCAAACTGATTGGGAGAAAAAGAAGAGACAGTCAGCCCATATTGTATTAGTGATGTCAGCAGTTCTAGCTAGAATCAGAGTGCAAAATGACATTTGCTAGAATAAATTCAGCATTCACAGGCAGATGTACATACACACCAGATATATCACTGGGGTCCTTTATGATTCAAATAATTTCTTTTTTACAGAAAGGTGGAAAACTTAGGTAGAAGACAGCTAATGTTACTTATATGTTTAAAGATAAGGATAACCCTTTCCTGAGAAGAATAATCAATTTGCCATTTCTTAGTTTGATTCCAGAGATTATACCAAATATAAATCAGTTTAGTCTCTTCTCTGCTCTCCTTCCCCTAGTTCTCCCTGAATTCCCACATCCTACCCATTCTATTTCTGAAATTCCTCAAAATAATTAATCCCTTCCTCTGCATTTCCACTACACAAAGCAAGTAGTCAGCAAATGCTTGATGAATGAATGAACTACTGCAATTGACTCCTACCTGGAATCCCTGCCTCCATGTTTATAAAACAAGCTAATGGGATGGGAGAGACTTTGTAATGGGGAAGACAGGAGGAAAAAAAAAAGAAACTAACATTAAAAGGTGATTAAAAGCCAGGCAATTTGCTAGGTGCTTTTAAAAATGTAATGTCATTTAATCATTTAAGTCATCACAACTCTGTTATATGAGAAAGTTGAAGTTCAAAGAAACTAAGCAATGTGACATAGTACAACTATTAAATGAATGACAGAGTTGAAAATCACATGCAGGTAAGTCTAATTCCAAAGCCCATGTTCTTTCCACAATATTGCACTTTCTCAAAAATAAGGCATTTAAAAGTCATAAGTTCCAATTAAATCTTTTTAGGACATAATTTCTATCTTTCAGACTCTATTTCAAAAGCCACTTCATCTCAGAGCCCAAAGTCTACAGAAGAAGTCTCCTCTTCTCCCAGACAGCATTTTACCTATACCTATACATCTCTAAAAGATTTATCCTCATTACATATTTGATTTGTATGACACTTATCTCTATTTCTCTTATGACACTTATCACTATTTTCTATTGATCACCTAATTCACATAGGTGATTAGCTCCTCCTGGATGATAAGCTCCTGGAGGTAAGATCTGTCTGTTGGATCTTTGTACACCCAGCTCAGTACCAGCATGCATGAAAAAATGAACTAATTGAATGTGGAAGGATTCCTTGATCTCCTACAGCATTTGAAAGGTTACCATACATTATTTTGCTTCTATTAAATGTTTTCCACTGTCTGGTGGTTGGTGATTTTCTAATTCCACTATTAGGTGACACCCATTGGGCACAGAAACCCATACTCCATTGGTCAACGAAAGGCAGACCATGTACCTTTGACAAGATGTTTGACAACAGTAAGTGTTCAATACTGGTAGAATCTTAGACAAAAACAAAAACCCAACTTCCTTGGGCAGGAGGTGGGGGTAAAGATGGGTATCCCATAAAAAGTGATCATTTGTGCAAAAAATATAGACCTGAAACCAAGTTTCTAAAATGAATTTTAGTGTATGGCAAATGAGAGATTTAATCAAAAATTTATCTTCTACTCTGAAAAATACATGTTTACAAGAAAAACTACCATATTTATACTGAGCACAATCTCAGACTACCACCTGCTTTTACTACGCAGTGATCTCTTCAAGCTTTCAAAAACAGACTTCTCAGAAGCTGTGAGTGATCTGTGGAGCATGTCAAATGTTCCCACATGATACTTAAACAATACTTGCTAAATAGTGAGAAGCCAGAGAGCCCAAGTAACAAGTCATTTTGAAAGGATAATATTTTCAAGGTTCTCCCTATAATAATTACAGTGAAACGGCTATAAAGAAGTAACTTTTTACTTCCATGATTCCTTAAGTTTAACTTATAAAGTAGATACTCTAGAAAGTTTAGAGAATGATTATTCAGCAAATTTTCATACATGAAATGACTGAGCATAATACTAGAAAGTATTATTATGTAGACAGAAATTAAAATAGATTATTTTGAGGTTCTAAATGATTATGCATATTGGCAGTGAATCGAAACTTAAAAGAAATACAAAAGCGAGCAGACCATGTTTTGGAAAACAGCTAAATCTGTCCAATTTGAAGTGACCCCAAAGCACCTCAGCATAGCAGAGTTGCCCTTTGCTTCCTTTCTCTGGGCTCACACTAAGAGGCTACACACAGATAGGAGGGTTGTTGGAGATCTCAAGCTTGTATGCAGAGAGACCTAGAAAAGAATCCCCAGCCTGCCCACATATAAAAGGTGTGACTTCAACCCTCAGTTTTCCTTATCTATAGGGACAGTAACATTAATGCATTAAGTCGCTGTGATGGTTAAATTAAAACACTAAGCAGGGTGCCTGTGACATCCTTTGTTCAGATATTAGCTGCTATTGGTAAGAAAAAAAGAAAAATATTTTGATGTCCAAATTTAAACATTGACTATGCTACTGATAAAGCCTTCTACCATGAATAGATATTCACAGAATCTTTACATAAAGGGCTAGGAGGATAAAAGATGCATTGAACTATTTAATTAAATTTCTAGTCATCTGCTTAAAATGTCCTCCCTTCTTCAAACTCCCATCCACAACTCTGACAAACTATTCATATAAACCTGGATCAAATGTCATTTCCACTGTGGAACTTTCCCAAGCACTCCAGGCAAAGGATATTGCTTCCTCAAAAGGACACACAGCAGCAGTTTGTACAGCACTGTATATTTCTTGTTGCAATAGAATTTATTTTTGTATATATCATTTCTAAACTATGAATTTCCTAAGAGCAGGGACCTGGTTGTGTGTGGACTCATCCTAGCATGCCCACTTAGTATTAGACATAATATCAAAAAAATTGCCCAATCATTGCAAATTCATATTGCTGTGCTATTTTGTTCTTCTTGACTGCTTTTCTTCTCCATCATAACAACAACAAAGATTGGACAAGAGTTCAAATGATACCCTCTATAGAGTATGGTGGACATATTAAAAGACAATAAATTTAATAAATTTTACTTCTCTTCCAAAAATCTGCTCAGTATAGTGGAACTGGGCCTCATTCCCACAGGGGAGACCAGGGGGCTTCCATCGGTGGCTTGGTCATTGCCAAGCTGGGTGCAGATGTCAGGGGATGTAGCAAAAGCCCTTGCCCCACCCCCATCATCCCAGCTTGGGAACCCAGGGCCCTTCTTGCTGTGGCTCGGTGGTTGTGGCTGGACTGGTTGCAGGTGTCAGAGGGGCATGGCCGAGGCCCCCCACCACCCTGGCTCAGGAGATCCTGGGGTGCTTGCTGATGTGGCTTGGTGGTCATCGCTGGGCTATTTGCCCGTGTTGGGGGGGGGCATGGCTGAGGCCCTCAGACCCCCACCGCCCCAGCTCAGGAGAGCCCGGAGCACTTTTTTGCAGTGGCTTAGTGGTCGTTGCTGGGCTGGTTGTGCATGTCAAGGGGCATGACTGAGGTCCTTGGCCCTCCCCCTTCTCTGGCTTGGTAGCCCAGGGGACTTCTGGTCCTTCTAGGTATTATAGGTGTTCTTTGGTGAAATGAGACCTTTACTGGTTAATATCAATCTTTGTCTCTGGTTGTGGGTACTTTGTTTTTTCTTTCACTTCTGTGTTGGATTATTTGCTGTTCCCACCATGTAAACTCTGTGCTGAAACTAATTTGTTGTCCTTTCCATACTTCTAAAATGGGGGAACTTCCTGTGGGGACCAGTACTTGAGCTCTGTGGTTGAGGTAAATTGCTGTTTTGCTGCTGATTCCCTAGGGAAACCTTTTTGTGCAGTTCAGGTTTTAACAGTTGACTTTATAGGTACTTCCCGTCTTTGAGATCCGGTGTACCTGTGTTGTGTAGAAACACTGGGCTGGGCCTGATTCTTTTCAGCAAACTGCACCCCACACAATTCTATATTCCTGACCAGTCTCCTCTGAGTGGTCCTACGCTGATTGGGGGCAGATCAACTGTACTTGCTGTGCCACAGTGTTCCCCTGGTGGGCCTACCTCCCCCATTACCTGTGCTCCAGTCCCTTGCAATGACTCACTGGCCTCTGAGTGGCTTCTTTTTCTCAGTTGTGGCTCCTCGCTCCTATGTGGGTCCACGGGAACCTTATTTGTGGTCTTGCTGGCTTGGGGGCACCAAGGCTCTCTTTTCCTCTGCCACCTCCAAGCAATTTCATCCAAAAGGCACAGCTGCTGCTTTTGCCAGCTCCTGCTCTGTGTGCTCAGCAGCTCCAGCCTGGAAGCGGCTGGGGCTCGAAATGGTCACAGCGGTTTTTTCTTTCTTTCATCATGGCTTCTCCCACCTTCATGCACTCCTTAGGTGTCTCCTCTTCTTCCCCTGAGCTCTAGCAGCCCCAGCTTGG